ATATCTTTCTTTCTACATAGCACTTTAATTCTTATTGTTTGCACTGAAGCACCGCAGCAATTTCCTAATGTTGTAAACCTCAACATCTGGCAATAAACCCCATTCTGATTCTGATTCTGATTCTGCAAAAGGTGGCTTGCTTCAGCGAATCCTCATCTTGCAAATAACCTATTTTCTGCTATATTAAGTTCAGCTTTAAGTTCATTGTTTCCATCTCACCCCACAGATGCTCAATTGTTCTGAGCTCTGGGTAATTTAGTGCCCTATCACGGTATTGATTATCGATCTGAGAGAGCCACAGGTGCGTATTAAATCAGAGTTCTCATTTAGCTGTCCACTAAATAAATATCAGTATCGATGTGGCCATCCACAGTCTGTCTGTAAAGGATCTAGTCCTGACTGGCCCCTTTAGGAAATTTTGAGATACTTGATTATAACTCCAAATGCCAAGTTTGGAAGAGCTGCTATATGATCTTATCACATTCATATCCTGCTTACTTTGGCTGAGGGCCACTTACTGGTGCTCATCAAACCTGGATGCCAAGATCCACCGGTGTGTTTGGAAGTGACACAGACAGGCGAGGGAGTATCGGATAACAAAATCACACTCTTCATTCCTGCCTGACCTCTTGCTCTGGATTATTAAGGCCACAGTGTGGTGACGGCTAATCAGGGACACGGCTCCATTCATAACAGATCAGAGAGCTGGCACACATGCTTTTATTTCTGAAGTGCCATTTATTATCGTTTCTGCTGCTGCAGTTCTCATAAAGGCTGATTTTAGTCCCTTTCAAGTTTGACTCTAAACACCATAAATCACAGTGCACCTTGCCACTCTTCTCACTTTTACATTTCTATAACACTTTGTAAAACAGCTACTAAACTGCAGCTTTCATCTCCTATAGGCCTTAACTTCTAAAGTTTACCACCGTCTTTTAATAATTTCCATTATGTAGCACTTAGAAAATACTCAAAGCGTCAGGGCTCTGTGTGCAGGCGGATGGAGAGGTGGATCCAAATGCAGGACTCAGACACTAAATTGAAACTCAAAAACCTCAGCTTTATTGCTGGTGACAAAACATGAACTGACACTGACTCACTAGAAACTGAAACACACAGGCAAGTCTGATGGTATGACGCGACACTGAGCACAGGAAAACACAGGGCTAATATACACAGGGTGGTAATCAGGGAATGGGCAACAGGAGGGAGACACAGCTGGGAGAAATTGGACTAACGAGACAGGGGAGCAGTAGAACTGAACACACTCAAATGAGACACAGACCTTCACAATAAAACAGGAAACCAGAAACCACTAAACAAAGACGCAGACAGAGAGGCAGACAGAATATAACACATGCAACTCAAACTATACATGAAACAACAAATTCTTAAACATGGATAAACAGAAACATGAAAATCATCATCATCATCATCATCATCACCACAAGCACTACAAGAGAATAAGAAAACAATCCATAATGCAAAAACACACCAAAATAGCTGAAACACAGATTCATCATAAAACCCAACAAAGCATCAGAGAAACATAAAGAACAATCCATCATTCAAAAATAAACCAAAACATAACAACTCAAAATACTGGGTCAAACTGACCCAGAACCGTGACGCAAAGGTCATATTTTCCTTATTGCTTGGAAATGAATCAGTCTGTATCAGTCTTTGGTAAAGTTGTGAACTGTTGATAGAGGCTTTGTGTTTTTGGAAGTGACACATAGTGGCAGGTCAGAGAGGACTTTTGTGCTGGACTGATGCTGGGGCCCGATAGCAGCTAGGGTGAAGTGACATCTCTCTCCTCTCTCATTCTATGTGTGTGTGTGTGTGTGTGTGTGTGTGTGTGTGTGTGTGTGTGTGTGTGTGTGTGTGTGTGTGAGATGGGAGTAGCTGCCCGCAGAGCTTATCTCTATAATTGGATTTGTGTTAGTGTATTCGGAAATCTCAGTGTGATGCTCTAATCTGATTGACCACAACCCTGGAGAGGTAGATGAGTCAAAGATGTCTGCTACATACATATAGGTGTCCATCTGTGTTTGACCTGCTGTTTGTCACCTTGGTTCTATTTGGGTTGAACTTAACAGGCTTTGGCAGGGAAAATGACAGCTGTATGCGAGATTTGGTGCAGAGCTGTAAATCTTACATCTGCAGGAAAAGCACATATGTTGCACTTGCACAATCTGTTCCTCGCTGAGATGAACATCAGAGTGGAAGATAATTTTTTTTATTAAGTTTCTTTTCTATATATATTCCTGTTTGACTATAGTTTTAACTCTATTTGCTTTTAATACCAGTAGCCGAGCTGTTGTTTGCGTATCTTTGTGGAACACATGACCTTTTGGCTGTGTTTACTTATAATGCATATTGAGCTCAGAATGTATTTTATACCCCTCTAGGTGTGCAAATGATTTCGTACCCTAGCATATTTTATCTGACAAGTATGACTGATTATTTATGGGCTGTTTTATCGCATGCGCTGTTTGATGAAGTGATAGCTGTATGCAGTCATCACGGACAACCTGGCTTGCTAAATACAATTGATTATACTGGTCTTGCTTTAGTTTAAATGATATTTATTTTGCAGCTGTAGTGGAGAACAAGACATTTTTTTAAATAACAATAATAAAATGTGCACGTACGATTGACTGACTCACTTCATCGTATTTCCCCCCACCTGTTACAATTATGCATACTTTGCCTTTTTCATGTGCTCCGTAAGAGATTGAGTTAAATATTGTATCTGACACAAAGTTTTTGATGTATTACTGCTTTTCACAGTAATTCAGTTTTACACGTACAAAGTTGTACACGTTTGTATTCTGCTTTTAGCAGCTTTCACGGTTTGCAGTCCTTTGCTCTCAGTGATGCACTGCATCTGATTGCATTACAGGAAGGTTCTTCTATTATTCAACAGTTTGCTTGATCTGGCTCCACACTGTCAGACCTTATATTATTTATTTATGCACTTTGAGACGATATGAGATTTAAAGCAGTCTCTCATGGTGCTTCCCAGGAACTTTGTTATAATCTAAAACTATATTGTGCAAACTTAACAATATGATATTTCCTTTTTGGGGGCAGAATTTGGTTTCTGTTCCACTCTGTCCTTCCTGAATCTGGATGTTTTGGCTTGTGCTGTTATTTGATTATCATGGGAATCCTGAAGTGTGGCAATTCATTTATTACAGCAAATGTTGACTGCCTGTTTTCCAGTGGGAAAGGGCAGAACAAGGATAGGGCTTTAGGAGATGTTTCTATTAGTATATTGTAACAGCCAGAGAGAGGGAGAGAAACCCCTCCATCCGCACCTTCCTTTCGCACGGCTAGACGTGACAGTCACCATAGCAACCACTCGGCATGCATGCTCCCCATCGCTATCAAGTGAAAACTGCTGAAATCTTTTCTTCTGTGTTTTTGTGTTTTTCTCTTTCTTTTTTAGAAATTTGATTTTTAAGAATTAAAGTTTTATCCAAGAATCCTTCAGCTGAAGGTGAAACTTTATTTATAAGGTTTCCACATAAAAAAAAAAAGCTTCCCCCAGATTCTCAGGTAGATAAATTATGTTCCTTGTCCCCATTTCCTCACCCATCCTCCCCTCCTTCTTTATACCCTCCTTTCAGGTCTCCCATGGGTAACGGAGGGTTTTCTCACACATTCAGACTGAAATTGTTAAAAATGTGTTGGCAGACGTACAGGAGGTGGATTTATGTAAACCTATGCTCCATTTCTGGCACATATAGAAAAGATGTGGAGCCTTTTTTTTTAAATTTGCAAATGATACCAAATGTTTTGAAAGAGTAATTTGTATTATAGATGGCTTGCAAAATGGGACTTCCCAAAAATAAACTAATGAAAGTTTTTCCCAGTGTGTGTGGATTCAGTACATAGCCATCCATTACCACTGTCTTGGACTTTGTGCCATCTCCACCATTCTTCTTTTTTTTTTTTATGAAGACAGTGTTCATGCTTCCTTCTCAATTTACATCAAAGCTAAATAGCATCATTATGGATGAAAGGCAAGGTGTTACTGTCTATATACAGTACCATTATTCATTACTTTGAGGAGGCTATCCTCTGAAATTTGTGCTCTCCTGCTTGCCACATACCATTTCTGCTTAAGACAGGAACTACATCACCCCTTCCTCATCCTCTAGCTTCTCGTCCTCATGTTTCTCTTTGTTGTCAGTTGTTTAATGTATTCTGTGTCCTTCTCCCTCTCTCCTAAAATAAAGGTGGTGAGAATCCCTTTAAGGCTTACAGTGCTGCTCCTCAAACATTTCGGCTGACTCCTGCTTGATAAACTCCTGGAAGTGAAAAGCTGAGACCCACAAGTGATCCAGGGATTCACGTCACTCCAACATGCCTTCTTCTGTCTAACTACTCCCTGGAGATAAGTACAACAATGTGACCACTCAAATCGATCAGAACCATGTGACCTGCTATTATGGATACGAGGAAAGGCTTACACTGAATTAAAACTCATCCAGGTAATTCAGCACATTGTGACCTTTGCAATCTGACCATTTGTACTGTATAGCAGCTGCTGACTTATGTTTAAAAAAAATCTTTTCACTGTTGAGATTAGTGTTTCACATCTTTTGCTTGGTACAGGGCTTTTCATTTTCTTTGTATATTAATAGACCTTTTACTGCACTGCATCTTGGCTATTCCGTGACTTCCTCAATCTGGATATTCATGGCTCCAGCTTTTGTCTGCGTCAGCTAGTAAACAGTACAAACAGGAAGTGGCACCATGGTGCATTGCTGTTAAAGCCTGGTCAGCTTAGTGCAAATTAAAAGGGTATGAATATAAAGAGTATAAAATGCTTTCGTTTGTATTTTCAGTATGAATTTGCCAGGTTTTTTTTTCAGCCTGAAAATGGACTTTAGGGAGTAGACTAAGCACATAAGTGCAATCGTTTCACCTAAAGTTAAAAGCAATGAGTGAACGTCAGGAGGGGCTGGAGCCTGTTCCAGCTGTTATGTGGTGAGAGGCAGGGTATAGCCTTGACAGATGACCAGTGTATCACAGAGCTCACAGAGAGAGATGCAGAGAGCCAATCACACCTACAGCCAATTTAGAATCACCAATTAACCTAACAAGCATGTCTTTGGGGAAAAAAGAATCTCTTAGCAAGAAAAGCCCTGCATGCAACCAGGAGTCTGGAACGAATCAAAGTCACTTTTTTGTAATAATAATAAGAGAAACCTGATTAGCACCTTGTTCTGGTTAGATTTGATTGTCTTGCCCTTTAAAAAGTATTATGAACCTCATATTTTTTGCTTGCAGAATCATGTTGTGACATTAAAGTCGGCAGTGCTAACACTGAAGACTCACTGCTTAAGGCATGAGAGGAGAACTAATGAAGACAGGCATGGAAGTGAATCCAGACAAACAGGAATGTGTCTTGTCCACCTTTGATACAGATGACAATTAAGTCCTGCGGCTCACAGTTGATATTGTATTGTGCACAAAGCTTGAAAGCTGAGGGGTGGTGAGATGCATAAAACAGGGTAAAGAAAACAGACCAAACAACAGAGCCTTTAACGAAGCAAAAAAACCACAGAGGACGAGTGGGAAAACTCTTTTACGAAGTCAAAAAGCTAAGCTTTTTCTTTTTCTTTTTTTTTTTTACAATGTTCAAGTTTTATTATAGTAGAATAGATTTATGTTTGTAGGTGCACTGGCTAACTACAGAAGCTTGCAAACACATCCAAGATTAGTATTCCAGCAGCTAACCACATATGGAAGAGCAACATCTAATGTTCTTCATATTAGATAGCTAACCAGTAGCATTTTTTAAATATATTTTTTGGGCTTTATTAGCTTTTACCACTTATGTGTTATGACCACAACGGGGCCTTCTGCATTACCTTTATATATGAGTCACCTGCTCAACCCAGTGAGCTAAACCATATGTAATAGAGACAGCACATGTTAATGGACACGAGTATAAAAATATAAGATATAAAGATGCTAAAAGTTTTAAAGTTTTTAGCAAACCTGGTGCACGTGAACCAATCGACAGGCCAGGGATTCGAATCAGACTGACTGGTAACCGGCTGGTTAACCACACATGTGTTTCATTACTTGCCCATCTAGTTCATGTGTGTACAACATGCACACAGCAGTGCAGACAAATAGTCATGCACTCATAACCACAAATTAAATTAATATAGAACTTATTTACTGTAAAACAAAGACACAATGCACACAAAGGTAAACCATGGGGGGAACCACCACGAAAGTGTAAAAACAAACCTTTTAGACACTTAAATCAAAGGTCACCGCTTTAAATCTTTGCTCAGTATGAGTGAAGCAGTTACAAGAAACTTTTGGTGATAAGTAAAAAAAAAAGAAGAAAAAGGATCAATATCCTGTTATCTGGTGAGGTAAAATATGTCAGGTAAAGTTAACTGTTTGTACCTCTTTGCAGTAGCAGAGCTCTTTATTTTCAGTTGTTTAAGTGAGAGGAGATCCTGTAACTTACTGCAGATTTTACAGCTGCAAAAGTGCCACAAAATCCATGCTTTTGACTTTTCTTTTATTTGGCACTCTGCTTTGTTTTTGTGCAGTTGAAATATCGTAGTGAGTAATGGTGATTCAAATAAGGAAAAGGAGAACAATACAGTCAAGGGCAGAAAGGAAGACAAGCCTGAGATGGGAGGAAGGAGAGAGAGAGAGAGAGAATCGAGAGACTATCTACATGCGTTTTTGTGGTACAATGCGTGGTTAAATCATCATTGTGCTTCCAGCTGCAAATGCATGTGCACGTATCTTATCCAGCGAGTTTGCAAAGAGTGTGTGTCTCTCTTGCTCCCGTTTCCTCTCTGGAGCAGAGCAGTACAGGAAGGCCGGCTGGTTGGCTGGCTGCACAGGAAAGGAAACAGTCTCTATCAAACAGCAGATGGAGGACAGCATGTGCTTACACTGCAGAAACACACACATAAGCACCGACATGCACACACATGTAGCCCTACATACACAACGAATTATGTGCGAAAACAGTAGCTTTTATTAGTAGTATGACCCAGATTGTATGTGTCAGGTGCTGGGAATCTGAACCTTCCAGAGTTGATTTGAAGGAGGAAAATTGCATTTTATAGGAACTTTTGAACTGCTTCCATAACGGCAAGGACGTTTTTTTTCTTCTTGGAAGGTTGTAATGCCCTTTCAACTTTTATCAAAGCATTTTCCCCCCCTAGCTACACATTGCTACAGTCTCTTATAGCTTTTCAGCTTTCAAATGTCTTTTCACGATTGAAAAACAGGCCATGGTCATAGAATAATTGTGCATAGACTTTTGTTTTCACCTGGTTCAGAGCATTGCTTTTGTTCAGAGTTGAAAAAAGGCAGATATGGAAATTATTCCCAAACAGTGTGTAAACTTCTATCAGTAATGCTCCACAGCTGTCCGACCCATTTCATGGGTGTAGGCATTAGCAAAGCCGAGATCTCACCTATTTGTTACGTTTGTGACCTGCTGATCAAAAGTGTTTGTCTGTTGCCAAGATTTAGTGATACCCAGTATGTCATGGCCACCTCTATGGTTTCTGATGCACTGTCATACCTCTGTCAAGAGTTATTAGCAACAGGATAGCTACCATACTGGCCTGGTCTCAACAAGCTTTTGTCAGCAATACGGAGACTGGATGTTGCACTTCCTTTTTCCAAACGGGAGCGAACTCTCCAAGAGGCTTTCGACTTAGGCTCGTGTGTTTGTGTATGTGTGTTTGCTCACTTGTGCAACAAGCCTGCTTAGGAGCAAGGACAATGAGGCTCACTATGGTGCCCAAGGCCTCAGTGAATGACTCATATTTCTATAGGATTCAGGCCAAACAAAAAGGTTACACAATCTTAATCAACAAAGTGGTGCTCATAATATGCTCAGCAGAGGCAGTGATCCCGTGAAAGAGGATTGTGAAAATTTGTTAGGTTCAAGTTTGGGTAACATAATTAGTACGCTTCCTCTTTCACTTTCTCTTAAAAGGAAGAGTGTTGCCTTCTTCTTTTTAAGAAGAAGAAAGCAGTCAGTGCACATTCTGACTTTCTAAATTCAGGATTATGCCACAAAAGACTGGCGTGTTTTGTTTTTCTATGTTTGTCACCAGGTGTGTGACAAAGAAGTTCAAGTGACTGTTATTCCTGAAGATGAATAACATCTCTCATTGAGGAGCAATTTTGCTATGGCAACTGGAACTGTGCAAGAGTAAAATTTAGCTCTTCCTGCAGACAGTCAAGAGACATGATAGAAACCGAAAGACAGTCATGGTGTCTCTTATTGAAAGGATTGTTCTAAAGAGAAGGATTTTAAGGTCTGCGTCTGCACCGAGCAGACACGTCTGCTCAATCTCTGCAGAGCAGCAGAGGCAGGCTCCTCATCCTCTCAGCGTGAGCCTTTCACTTATCCCTTCTGGTCCCTCCTCTCTTTTCCTCGCTCAGAATCAAGTGGCTTTTTGTTCTCCCGCAGCAGTGCTTATCACTTGTTTCTCCACTGCTGCCCTCACTCCCTCCTCCCCGTCCTTCTTGTGGTAATGAAAGGATATTTTGGGGGATAGATCTTGTCTGCCCTGTGAAGATCCCAAAGGAGTGTGGTTATCTTTCTGTCTGTGTCTGAAAAAATGGGGTTCTGTGCAAGAACACCCCCTTCTCTGGAGGGCATTCTTCCTCTGAGAGCTAGGTCTGTTTTTAATCCAAGTCTTTGTGTCCGTGCGGATGTTAAATAACTCCCATACCAGAAGAAAAGCTTTGTGGACTCATCATTACAGGCACTAACTCTGCACTTTATTTGAGTTCATCTGAATGAAGTGGGTTTGCTCTTTCCCACAGGATTTTTCAATTGCCTGTTATTTCTACGCTTGGATAACATGACATAGGGATGAGGCATACATTGTCAGGGGAGGGAGTCTGTTTGGCCGAATTACTCTTTAAAACCTGATTCCCAGATGGCATCTGACTCAGCTGTTGTTTTTCCACATGTAACTACAGCTTCACCTGTCTAATCACTTTTATTGACCATAAAACCTCCCAAAACAAATTTACAGTCAGTTAAGGAGGTTAACTTTCCATAATGTGACCGGTAGTCATCATTTTCTTTATAGCTTTTGCTGAGATGTTTGCTGAATAAAGGCAACTGCTGAGGCTTAGACTCAGAAAGGCTGAAGTTTCTCAATTGATTTCTTTCTATTAAATGCATCAGAACAGCTAGACCCATAAAAGAGAATCTAACTGAATTATTATTGTGTGGACGTGCAGAAGCTTTGTATGACAGCAATAGCTTTCCACTGCTAAACAGTATCTCAGTATAAGACAATTTCTATTAAAAGCAAACATAATATAGCATGAGCTCTAAATATGTCATCATGTAGAGCCTCTGAATGGAGTCTGGAGCTGCTTTCTCCCCGCTTAATCACCTCTTGACTCTCATGATGGATGCAGATTGATAAATACCATAATTATCTTGGAAGTCATGTATTTTCAAGTAATG